TTACAGCCAAGAAAACAATATGGGGCAGTTGTACTCAAATACGGTGAGTTGGAATCAGACTAGAGAGCAGCCAACAACAACAATACATTGTGTAGATAACATGCAAGACAATGATGAATAAGAACATTTGGTACAGTGTGAAGCTACAGGCTGTGCCCAGAAAGTTGATATTTTTTTCTCCCTTGGATAAGTTGAGTCATTAGTTCATTCTTTCATTTAATCTGCCCCCTTCCGGAAAGGATTGAAGGTGGTTTAAATGTATACAATGCAACGTGATAAAATTTAAATGTAAGTGGAAAAGAAAATAGCACTGAAAAAAGAGAAAATGAGGGAGATAGAATGAAGCTAGGAGTAAGGTTGAAAACTGATGCTTCCTAGATTTCAGGGTTTCTAAATCAGTAAAATTTCCCCCAAATCATTTGGAACCGACGGGCTGATAAGATGTTCTTTCGCCAAGTAAAGAGATTAAAAAACCAAAAGAAACAGGCAAACAAAGGCTCCTACCCCTGACTCTCATTATCATTTCATGAAAGAAAGACTTTCTTTAACGACAATCTGTCTTAATACCTACAAAGAGGCAAGAACGTGACCTCAGAATACAGGGTAGTCCAGTTTAATTTATGAACTAACACATTGTTATCTTATCTATATTTTTCTTGTATGGATAAAAACTGGCACAAATTAGCAATGGCTTAGAAAAGGTATTTGTGAATCCCTGAGCTAGTACAGGGATTCACACCTGAAAAGTGATGGACCCCCAAATCTGACCCTTGAGCCCATCAGTCAGGGCAAGGATAGAGATACAAGCGGTTGCTCAAGGAATGAAAAAATATTCCTGTTAGCTCCTTGAGAGAAAAATCTTCCTGGATTCTCCTTAAAAGAACAATGTGTAAAATATCGGACAATATCCTCAACAATATTCTCAGAACGAAGGGGACATTTTTATAAAATGTATTCCCCAATATAGGCCAATGGGATAATGTCAAAGTGCAATTTGATAAAAGGAATTTTCTCTGGACACAGTCCAGGTAAACTGCTCGTCCCTTGAGTTGACTTGCTACAGGACTGATTTTAGGGGATCCAGGTTCTAGAGGACAGTCAGACTACATATCCTTCCGATCAGTGTCTAAAATAATATTTTTATCAACCAAACTTTGGCAAGTATTAAATGCTGGTGAATTCTCGGTTGTTCTATGACTTTAAAATCCTTTAATAGGATCTCTGAAAGTCATATCCTATGCTGATGGTGAAACAGGGAGTCGCATGTTTTAACATTCAGCTTGCCTGCAGGGAAAGAACGACCTACCTTTTAGGACAGTTGGGAAACCTCGTGAGGAGGTATATAGAGGGAAACTAGAAAGTTTCTAATCTAAGGGAATATACTATATAAAGACAGTCAATGAACTCACAAGTGCCATGTGTTACAAATTATTTTCATTCATTCATTCACTCAGGAAATAAGTTTTGAGTACCCACTATGCTCCAGGCACTATTCTATGCACTGGAGATACAGCAGTGAAAAAAAAACAGACAAAATTCTCTGCCCTCACAGGAGGCTGGGAGTGGAGAAACAGATGACAAATAAGGTACATAAGTAACTAAGCGGTTTGTGATCAGCTGCTAACCTACAGTTTGGTTGTTTAAATCTATTCCACAGTGCCATGTATGAAAGGCCTGGTGATCTGCTTCCATAAAGATTTCAGCTACGAAACCCTATGGAGTGCAGTTCTGCTTCTGCGACACACGGGGTCGCCATGAATCTGAATCGACTCGACAACAACAGGCTTGGTTTTTAATATATTAGAGGGTGATGAGTGCTATGGAGAAATATAAAGCAGGAAAAGGGGATAAGAAGTGTGTGTGTGTGTAGGTATAAGTAGTGGTTTCCAGTTTTAAGAAGTTGGTGAGAGAAGGTCACATGGAGGTGATATTTAAACAAAGACCTGAAAAAAAAATTAAACAGGGGGCAATGCAGACATCTGAGGGATGAGCACACTAGGCAGAGGGAAGAGTGGGTGCAAACAGCAAAAGCAGTGTGACTGGAGCAGAGTTATCAGGTACAGAGTGATTTAGGAGATAACATTGGAGCCATTATTCCCTGTCCTAGAATGTGTCCCAGCTGGAGCTGGACTCACAAGGACCCACAAGGACTCACAAGGACACATCAACTGGGCCCTGAGGTATACAGACAATAGCTAGGACAATAGTCGAAAACATCTTTTAGGGAACATTCCACAGAAACAAATCATAAACAGAGCACTTAAGACCCACATACTTTCCACTCTTATCTTTTTCTGTTAGCATTTAGTGAATAGTAAGATTCGTTGGACCAACTAAGACCCTCCTGACTGTTGTTACTGAAACCTGTACCAATAATTGTTAAGAAAGATGATTCAAAATGTAGAATCATAGTGACTTAACAGTTTCTAGCCAATCTGTGAAAAGGTGAAGGCTTCAATGGTTTTGCCCGTTTGTAACGTTAGTCTATACTGATGATTCTGTAACATTCCTTGGACTCGGATAGACATGGCTCTGGCAGCATGCTTGTCTGTTTTCCCACTTTCGTCTATCCTGTAATATTCCTTGAATTCGGGCAGACATAGCTCTGGCAGCACGCTTGTCCATTTCTCACTTTTGCCTCTTTGAACATATACTGAATAAAACCTTTCTTTTTGCTTTACTAAACTTTGTGATGTTTTTACCCCAGAACAAAAGGTAGTGGCATGGGAATTGTGGGGGGGGGGTCCTTTAGGGGTCCTTTTACGGTCCTATAAGTCATTATAGGAGCCTTGGTGGCATAGTGGTTAAGACCTCAGCTGCTAACGAAAGGTCAGCAATTTGAATCCACCAGCCGCTCCTTGGAAACCCTATGGGGCAGTTCTACTCTGTCCTATTGGGTCGCTATGAGTCCTTTTTTTTTTTAAGCCATTGTAAGGACTTTGATTTTTACTCTGGGAGCCATGGGAAACTAAGGAAGTGTTCTAAGCAGAGTAGTTACCTGGCCCCACTAATATTTTAACAGATTCACTTGTCTGTTGTGTTGAGGATAGACTGTAGGGTGACCAGGACAGCAGCAGGGAGACCAGTTAGCCTGCTACCCCATTACTACACATTATGTACCAGCAATGGTATAACAGCATTTGGAGTAAAATGAAATGGGGGTCCTGCAGTGTTGCAAGTTTAGTTAGCATTCAGTCTGGATAAAATCACTGAGATCCATAACAGACAATTTACAAAGAAATTTCCACGGAACTTAGACAAATTTAGATCTCATAATAAAGTGATGTGCTCTGTAGCCCTTGCTCGGCTTTGCACTTGATGTCCAGCCCCACAAAACCAGCTCAGGTGGAATCCCTAAGTGAAGACTGGATATCATCGAAGAGCTGCATGGAGCAGTTGCTTGTGTAGAGTGATGATTTAGATAAAAGGAGAGGGAACTGAAAAGGAAACTGGAAGCAGTGCCCAGAGTTTTATCTGCTTTGTCCATAAAAGGAGATTAGAAACTTTACAGAAGCCTACTTTGGTGCTTGAGGATAGAATCTACCCGTTCTCACAATGCATGGATTTATGAAGTCTCATCCATGGTAAGAATGAGTTTTTTCATGCAGTAATACATTTATTCAAGTCACTAAGATTCCAACATCTACACTGGTTAAAGGAGGGTCCCAAATCTCTTTGCTCATTTTATTTTTTTGTTCCTGTGTATGTTATCGTTCTCGTGCTTTTCAGAAAGCAATTTCAGGGACCTAGTGTTGTAGGCATGTCAGCGTAATGTAATTTCTGATCTGGACGTCAATCTATTTTGTTGTCATAAACAGTATTTCTGATAGCTAATTAAGATAGTACTACCTATCTGTCTATTAATTGTATTGTGATGACTTGTGTATTGCTATGATGCTGGAAGCTATGCCACTGGTATTTCAAATACCAGTAACTTCCAGACAGAGACAGACTAGGAAGAAAAGCCTGGCAATCTACTTCCAAAAATTAGTCAGTGAAACCTTATGTATCACAACAGAATATTGTTCAATGTAGTGCTGGAAGATGAGCCCCTTAGGTTGAAAAGCACTACACAATATCCGCAATAACGGACTCAGACATACCAATGATCATGAAGATGGTGCAGGACCAGGCTGGGCTTCCATTGATTTAATGGCATCAATGGTTCACCATCTTCCAGAGCTCTGTAGCCATCTTAAAGCTGATATAAATGTTTCTGGCATTTAGCAAAGAACAATTAATTATGCAGCAAGTGACTAACTTAAGAAAGAGCCTATAGGGGAAGCCCCCAAATAATGATCCGCTGCAGGATATCAGGGAGAGCTGGAGTTGGTGAGGTTGTTGACACAAGGAAGTAACAGCAGCCGTGAAGGCTGATGCCTTCCCACCAGAAGTTTTTACTCACTGAGCCAATGGTTAGTTAGTAACCTGATGTCAGCTAAATGCCCCTGCGTGGGGAAGATCACACTCCTTGTGCTGCTGGGTCACAATAGTCAGGAGAACGGGGGCCAGAAGCAGAATCACAGCATTTGGCCCCATTCTCTACTTAGTTTTGTTATTGGTGACGAAGTACTACCAACAGAACACCTTTCTGGGCCCCAAGGAAGCTCTCTGCTGCCATCACCAAGGCGCTGTTGCCCCACGCCTCTGCCATGGTGGTGTACCAGCTCTGCTGGGAGTCAGGTATCCACACGTGAAGGGAAGGAGCTAGTTCCCTCCTATAGCAAGGGCACTTGCAGGTGAAAGCTGAGCGGTGAGCTCTTGCTTCTCCACGCTGCACTGGGACAACTTGGCTCTTGCTTCCCTGTTTGACAGTCTTCAACCTGCTCTCCCAGATGTCACCATCAAACTCAAAGTCCCCTTTTACTATTTATCCCAGAGCTGCTAGAAAACTCAGGACAAATAGGTATGATGGCGAGCTGTTCCTTACTCTCTGAGACAATGCTTTAGGAAAAAAGTTTGAAAATGCTTATCACTTACAGAGAGATTTCTGTTTCTAGGAAGCTAAAAGGATTATAAAACCCCTCATGATCATTCCTGGAGGCACTGACTGTGGCTGGGAACTAGAAAGTGATGCAGCCATCACTGCTTCTCACAAGCCCACGGCCTTTCCCTAACCCAGGTCAGGGGTCAGGTCATTTGCCACTAGTTTATAAATCTCTGAGCTGGAACTTGCTAGATTTCAGCAGTGAGGTAGCGGGAGGGATGTTTTCTCCCACAGCTACAACAGCACGAGAGATATGGGGTCTAGGCCTGTCTCCCTCACCCCCACCGTTTCGTACCTATGTGACCAGGTCAGGCTCCCCATCTGCCTACCTGTACCTCAGCCTTCCTGCACTATGGGACAGGGGGTCGAGATGGAGTAGGGGGAGAGGGTAAGTGAGGAAAAGAAAAGGGAGTAGAATGGCAGGATGGGAGGGGATTCTGGCCAGCATGGTCTGTAAGCAGAACATCATCTCAGTAAATCATCTCTGACCCACACCCTCTGGCCTGATTCCTTTTCCCAGGATCAGGGGCTGACAGGAAGGCCCCATCTTAATCGTTTCAATCATCATTTGTCAGGTCATGTGTGCAAGGCAGTTAAGGATGTCAATGAAATGGATGACAGTGTACCTGCCTTGATGTGTTAGTACTCTGGAGGGGAGAGTGTTCAGCAGACCACTGCACAGAGAGAAAGAGAACTGTACAATTGAGTTATAGACAAAAACATGACATAACTGTGGTATAACCCAAGAGATGACAATATGACTTGGCTGGTTTACCTCGTCTTATAACCTAAAGTAGAACAATTTCCATAACCCTATAAACATTCTGGAATTCCTGGGTGGTATAAACAGTTAACATACTTCACTGCTAACCGAAAGATTAGAGGTTTAAGTCCACTAAGAGATGCCTCTGTAGAAAGACCTGGCTATTTACTTCTAAAATCAGCTATTGAAAATCCTCTGGAGCACAGTTCAACTCTGACACACATGGGGTTGCCATGAGTCAGAGCTGACTCCATGGCAATTGGTTTTTATAAATGTTGTATTCATTAGAGTACTTGTGTCTTTTAATAAGGATCTGAGGCCAAGCACACAAATAACTATGCTATAACAAAGAATGAGCTAAGCGCTACAAGTGGGCTGTACAGTGGTAAAGCAGAAAGTGTTATTTGGGGCTTTGAATCTTTGGGACTCTAGCATCTACTACCAGGTCTGTGGCCTCTAACAGGCACAAACCTCTTAGTTTCTTTATTAGTCGAATGGATTTAATAATTCCTGCCCTGCAGAGTTTTAGTGAGGATTAGAAACAGTGTATATAAAGTGCCTAGTACAACGCCCTAAAGGGACTTACATTTCAATGAATACTAAATAGTCACTACTATTATGAGAGCTTTAAATCAAGCTCTCATATCCCACTTAAATATAACTCCCCTGGACTGAGCATCCCATAGACTATTCTATGAAAGATTCCTAACCAAAAAGGTTCTAAGAACCTCAGGCAGCTTCTAGGAACGCATTGTCTGCTCCTGGGTGGGAGAAGGCACCTTGGACCTCTACTTGCCATCTGGGCCCCGGCAACAATTCTGACTCATGATGGCCACACATGTGTCAGAATAGAACTGTGCTCTATTCTGAATACAGTTTTCAATGTCTAATTTTTTGGAAGTAGATCGCCAGGACTCTCTTCCGCAGCACCACTGGGTGGACTTGAACCTCCAACCTATCTCCATTAGCAGCCCAGCACTTTAACTGTTTGCACCATCAGGTAAACAGTAGCCGCTGCCACTAGCAGAGGTCCATGGAAATGCCACTGTGCTAAGCACTTTAGATACTCTTCTCACTTCACCCTCATAATGATCCTGTAAAGTGTGTATTGGTCCCTTTTTCCTGCCAAGGGAGCTCCAGCAGCTTGCACACCAGTGGTAGAGGCAGGATTTGGGTTCAAAACTAACCATGCAGGTCAACCTCTCAGCCACTTCCTGAAACCCTGCCTTCAGTTACACTAAACAAACAAAAAATGATACCCTTTCATTTCTCCACCACCCCATCTGCTTCTCCCCAAGTCCCTCTCCCTCATTGTTCTTGTTCCCCTCTCCTTGGTCACTCTTCTCTGGAGATAGGGGCAAGCCTGCTGGTGTGTGTCTGCTGGACTCTCAGGAGGGAGAAAACGGGCCAACAGCCCCTGCCTCACTCAGCAGTAAGCTAGAAATGGGGCTACCTGGCCTTTAATTGGGGGAGAACGCTTCGGCCTTCCCTAATTCCCCTCTTCTTCTTTTTCCAACTCCATGATTTTCCTGCCCCGAGTGCCAGCCCCCATAGGACCTCCCTGCCTCAGTTCACTCCCTGACATTGTCCAACCCTAGGACTGGAAGAAGGGGTGATGCGGGGGAGAGCCAGATGGTTTGGCCGCCTCCCCGTGTTTCGTGCAGGTTTCACCACGTCCATTTCGGAGGGCGAGGGCGAGGCCACCGCGGGAGAGCAGACAGCGGGCTGGCAGTGCCACCTGCTGAGAGCCCCGCGGGTCGGGCGAGCGGCGGGCAGTGCCACCTGCTATCAACAGGCCGCCCAGGGCAGGGTGTGGGACCGCACATCCCGCCGAGAGGGCCTTAATCACACTCGGGGCCCGAACTGGCGCCCAGGGCCCGCGCCCCTCTCGCTCCTCCAGGTGGCACTCGGCGTCCCCGGGGCGGGCTGAGGATGGGCCCCCCCGGGAGGAACGAGGAAGGGAGGGGAAGGAGGCTGCGGCAGCTCCACACTACTGCTGCAGCTGTCGCCCGCGTGTGAGTCGGCCGTCCCGGCCGTGCCGCCCGGGCAGAGTCACACGGCGCAGTGGGGGGAGGGGGGAAGGGCACGGCGCCCCCCTCTCGGTTCCCCGGGGGCCGAGTCGGGAGATCTGGCTCCTGCCCTGCCCTCGCCTCCCCCGCGCTCGCCCAGCCCGGGAGGAGGAAACGCGAGCCGCGCACAGACACCTCCTCCTGCTTGGCTGCCGTCGCCCCCGCCCCCGGCCCCGCCACTGTGCCTGTTGCTGCCGCCGCCGCGGGACCGCCTGTCCTCAGCCGGGAGGAGGAGCGGCGGGAGCCGAGTCAGCGGACCCCGGCTCCTCGCGGCAGGAAGCGCGCAGCCGGCCCGGCACGATGGCCGCTCCGCCCGCCCAGGCAGTCCCCAGGTGGCCCCCCGGCACCTGCGCGCCCCGGCCCGGCTCCGGGCTCTGAGCTGCCGCCGCACAGGTAGGCGCCTTCTGGGGCTGGGCGCATGCCACCCCGCTCGCTGCTCCGCCGGCATCCCGGCTACCCGCCGAGCCCACGGAGAAGCTGGGATAGGGCAGCCTTGGGAGTTTTTGCCCTCCTCGCCGCCGGGGAGGGGGCGCGGGGAGGAAGTTCATTGCCACCTCGCTGCCCACCCCCCCCCCCTTGGACGGAAGCGAGACCTTCATGTTCAGAATGACCCGGTAGCCCCGGCAGGTTCCCTTCACCCGGACTCGTCCTCCCACCCCTCCCTCTCCCCCCTCCCGCCAAATATCTCAAGGGCTAGCGTGTGTGAAGGGCGAGCACATTGGGCGAGGGTGGTCAGAGTGACCCCATGCCACCCTTTAAAAGTTCAAGGTACTTTGCAGCAGTAACTTTGGCAGCTTCACCAGTGCGCGCACCATTTCTTTCTATGGGCACATCCTGTACCAGTCATTTTGAAACCCTGCTTAATTGTTTATAGCAGCTTCCTGATCGCTGTGTGGTTATGAGAGCTCCTCAAATTTAGCCGCACAGTGCTGGTTTTTTTTTTTTTTTTTTAAAATAGGTGTCATTTTGTTTGAAATCCACCCAGATGTGGCTTTACCTGTTACAATTTTATTTAAAATAGCGTATTCTCTGAAAGTTGCTTAAAAAGGAAAAGAAATTGAAAGTGATGATTCTTCCTTCCACCAGTTTTATTTTCGGAATGTCCTGCATTAATGGGTGTATACTTCATAGTTCTCTCATTTTTTCTTTTAGATGATTGGATGATTTCATTTCTTAACATAATCAGACATTGAAAGAGCATTTTAAAATGACTTGTTTGAAACTGGTCACACCTAAGAAACTCAGCTGTCGCTACAATTCCAATTTCTAAACTTTTTGCACCGTAACTAAGGTGAAAACAGAGTCCCTGATAAACAGACCTTCTTTAGGAAAGCAGAAATTCATTCTCTTCCCAAGAGATGCAATGGATTGCTTGGAGTTGGAGCATGGCTACAGCTTGGTTTTATTGTGTTTGGGGAGCCTGGGTTGTGTGGGAGGGCCTGGGGTGGAAGAATGAAAGGAGAGCTGTTCCAGGAGGCTGGGAAATCACCTTGCAGAACGACTTTTCGGTTTTCTGTGGACTTCATGTTCTTTCAGTCCCTTGGGTTAGGAATTCCTGAAGCAGGTGAGTTCTGCTGCACGTTTTCCTAGAGTGCAGGTGGTTTCTCTTAGCTGGAGGGGAGATGCCTCATGATCAGCTCCTTCCTGGGAACTTGGAAGACTGGCCTTCAGAGATAAGGACTGTGCATGAAAACATTTGTATGAAAAAGATTTGACTGCTTTTGTAAACCAGTATTTTACTACTGCTTAAAATGGAATATACCACAGTCTTGAGTCTGCCTATTTCTTGTTTTTGTTTTGTTTCTATTAAGTTATAGAGAAGTAAGGCTGTAAAAAGTGCTTTCTCTTCAGATTTTCCTATAAGGAAACATTGCCATAGCATGAGCTACTGGATAGTGGCCACGGCTGTTAGTTAAAGGGTGCTGTGTAAAATGTTTAGGGGACATTTTATGAAGAGAATGCAGTGACATATATGAAGTATCCTGAAACTATTAATTGAACGCAGGGAGAAATAAAAGGGAATAAAGCTAGAAAGAAAATCACTAGAAGATAGTGAAAATAAATACCTTTATGTGGATTTGTCCATTTGCCACTTGAAAACCTGTAACATAGGGAAAAATTTCAGTGATGTACTTATACATCAGCATCAAAGTAAAGGTTTGCAAATGGTACTCTCTGCCATAGTCTGTCATTATCTCTCTTGCTGAAAGCTCTGGGTTTTTCTCCTATGATAACATTTCTGGTTGGGTGTCAGGCATGTCAGAGTTGACTTTTATCTCTCATAACGTAGTTTATCAT